TTAAGTTGTCCAGCCACATGAAATCGTTTTACGGGGGTAAAAGCGAGCAAATCAAGGCTTAGGTTGGAGGTTTGCAAATGTGGGGGACTGCGCCCCCCAACCCACCCCGTTTTTTAACTGCAAACTGCCCGCTTTCTTGAGTTGTCGAGCCACATGAAATCGCTTTAGGGGGGTATAAGCGAGCAAATCAAAGTTCATGTTGGAAGGTTTGCAACTGGGGGGGGGGCTGCGGCCCCCCCCCCCCCCCAGCCCCCCGTTTTTTAGCTGCAAACTGCCCGCTTTCTTAAGCTGTCGATGCAATGAATTAAAAACGCTTTTTCTAAACGCACAACAAGGACAAAGCCGCATGAAAACGCTTCAGGGGATTTAAAATTAAAGGTAAACAACAACGTGAATCTCTCTGGAAGCGAAGAGACGGAAAAGCCACATGAATTGCCGCTTTTTTAACTTGTCGTGCAACTTGTGGTTCCCCAACAGCTTCATGCTAAACACAAGCAAAATCAGGCTCCGCAAGTTGTAGTTCCCCAATAGCTTCATGCAAAACAGAAGCAAAACCAGAGCCGTCGAATTCTAGTTCCCCAATAGCTTGATGCAGCAAAGACCGCAGTTGCCGCTGTTGGCAACCACAACCAGTGGGCCAGACTTAGGAAAGCAAGCCGGGGAGGGCCAGACCTAGGAAAAAAAAACCGCTCCGCCGGTTTTGTTGCATCTTACAAGCAGCCTGGCACTGAACTCTGGTCAAAGTCCTAAACCCGACGACCTGACCATAACTGGAGCTTCAGCGGCTCGGCTCGGGTTTTTCAGGGGGTCTCAGGGTTTCGGGGGCTGGGGCCCACATAGAACAGCAGACGTGCCGTCCGCCCGCATACAGCAAGTACCACTATACTAGGTCCAGGTGCTTAGTAGGTATTTGGGGCCCCAAAGTACCTACTATACCATTACTTGGACCCTTTCGGAATTTCCGAACAGCTCCACCCGAAACCACTCCAGCTCTACGAAGCTTGACTCATAGGGACCCTTTGGGGGGGCTAGGGGGCCTTAATGCCCATAGTAAGGACCTAATAAGGCCTATCTAAGGAAGTATAGTCCCCTACCCCCTTCAACCCTAAGCCCTAAACCCCTAAACCCTAAACTCCTACCCCACTAAGGGTCCCCATGATGAAGCTGAAACTATGGAGTCGAAGACAACACCCCTGTGCTCTGCATCCCTACTTTCTTGGATGCCCAGTAGTACCCTTATTAGGGGTACCTTTAAAGGGATCTATAAGAGTTCCTTAAAGGGATCTATAAGGGTTCCGTAAAGGGATCTATAAGGGTTCTATAAAGGGTTTAGGGTTTCCGAAAATTAGGGGCTAGGATGCCCAGTAGTACCCTTATTCCCTTTTTGTAGTCTTAGGTTCCTTATAAAGTTACCCAGTACCAGAAAGGGAGCCCTTTTAATTCCTAGGTTACTGGGCATCCTAGCTTCAGGGTTCCGCGTCTAGGACGGTTAAGGGTTTAGGGATGTTTAGGGGTTTGGGGCGCAGGGTTTAGGGTTACTATAGAAGCCTGAACCTTTCGTACTGAATAGAATTAGTATAGACTGCACAATAAAAACTTTATCCTAAGCACTACGCCCCCTAGTTTACGAACCTCAAGTCGACTAGCCCGAAGAACCCCAGTATCAATCACGCCTCTTCGCTTAAAAGGTGCCTCGCGCTCCGGAGCGGTGATGGTCCTTGGGCCATTGGCCGTCTCTTGGCATTGCTGGACCAAGGGTTGTACAGAGGGCTCAGGCGGTTTGGGGATTTGGGACGCATGGTCAGGGTTTACAGTAGAAGCCAGAAAGTTGGAATATCATTATCGTAACCCCTTTAAGGTAAATTACAGGGGGTCCTACCATTAATCCATATTCCAACTTTCTGGAGTTCCCTTTAGGATGATCACGTCATTGGGGTGTGAGGCTTTAATTAATTTGAACGACGGGGGAGGTCCAGATACAGCCGTCGCATGCGGCAAACCCTCGAGCAGCACAACCCAGGTCAGTGTTGAGAATACATGTGGCGGATAGTTCTCTCTAGATTAGGGTTCCTTTATGGTTGCTGTTTATAAGGGTGGCGTACTATCTGAGGGCCCTAAAACGGTCAGGACATTTGCAGCCGTGCCACTGCCGAGCGGTTTTCAACATCAATTCCTCCCGCCCTGGAGTGGTGGCTAGATGATATGTGTTACAGCGCAATTTTGTACTAAATGATTTCAATGGCGGATTACATGAGCATCTGTGGGAGGGGTCATGCGAGCCCGTCCCTGGCGACATGCGCAGGAAACCTTTAACCTTGTTTTGGGTAGTAGCGTCCCGATATAGTCCCTACATAACCCAAAAGATTGACCTTTAGTTCCCCATGATACCCGAAAAGTAGGTAACTGCAGCCAGGAGAGTCTTCCCCCATGCCAGGTTGAGTATCTGAGGGTCGAGTTGGGCTTCGTATGTTGATCATTGAAGCTCAGGGTCATCGTCAGGGGTCAGTAGACAGGTACCTAGCTAGATAGATAGAGATCTGGATAGGTAGATAGACACATAGATAGATAAAGCGACGGGTTGTAAGTAAGTAAGTGAGTGAGTAAAGTAAGGAAGTAAGTAAGCAAGTCAGTATGTAAGGAAGTAAGTAAGCAAGTAAGTAAGTAATTAGACAGACAGATCGAAAGATAAACCGATTGGCAGACAGACATGTTTGTTTGTTTCTGTTGGCGAATTTCAAAGTTCACGGCTTAATGGTTCTTAGGGTTTACAGCTTTTAAGCCTTTTTTTCCTGGATTTGGTGTTTCTTATCCAAAACGAAGAGGGCCCAATACAGGGGCCCGGGGAAGCAGGAGAAGTAGCCTTTGGAGATATCTCGGCAATATCGGAAGGCGTCGGTTGACCTCTCATGTTCTGCCGTTCTCTACGTGACCTTTTTATTAACAGAATGAAAAAGAGCATGTTCAGCAAGTTCGACATTCCGGAGCCGAGACAATGCACACTCCCTCAGCGAGGCCAGCAGCAGCCCAACTTCTTTGCGCAGCTGATCCCGGACGAGGTATCGTTCTGTCGGGTCTACAGGCTTGTTTTGTTGAGCGTTAAGAGTTCGTATTGTTGGTGTGGTAAGAGCTTCGTTTTGCATGGAGAGTTTGTGGGCTTGAGCAAATAAGGATATTGGAGTTCAAGTGCTTCCGTGAGGAGTGTCAAGCTACTGCACGGTCCGTGCAGTGAAGTTCAGCAAAGGGTTGTGGAATCTCCTGGGCTCACGGAGGCCATCGCTGATATCCACGCAGGTGTTCTTTGTGGTTGCCGGGTTCAGCTTCAGTGTCAGCCTGATTCCTGTTTGGGTGCTGTGGGGTACTTGCACCAGCCACGAAGGACAAGGTATCTGTCCCATGATGCCCGATCTACGGTGTTTTTGGACTGAAGCCGGTGAAGTCCCCGGTTTGAGCCCTTCAACTTCGTGGCTTGCAATCTTTCCTGCCGGCTTGATTGATGATGAGTGCTTACCAGAGGTGATCAAGTCGCGGAGCACCCCAAGTGCATACGTCAGAAGTCCAGGCTAGGCTATGTCGACGAAGTTCGACGATGATGTTAGCAAGCCCTTCTCTGTTCAACGTTTGCGGTTCAGAGTTTAGATTTTCAGGAATCGAGTTATCGGCACACAAGCATGAGTTTCCGAACAGGTTCCCAGTTCCCAGCACGAATTCCCATGCCTGCTGCAAAAGTCGCTGCAGTCTACCCGGACGCTGATCTCGCGAAGCCATGTGGTGATTTCCTTGGACAGCGAGGCCTGTGGCGGCGTAAGAGCCATTACAGCAGTAATCATGATGGTGGTCATAGCAATGAACAAGACCAATACCAAAACAATAGTAGTGAAAGGATAGCAGTAACATTGCGCATGAAAGCTTTAGCTCAACAGCAATACTGGTATACGGATGTATCGAGGCATTTGACCCTCTGCTCTGGAGGGCCGTCCGTAGGGTTCAGATTTTAAGGTTTTAAGTTGATCTTGTGGCTTTGTAAACAATCATAGAAGCCGAGGCCGTAAGCGCTAAACTACGCTTGAACTAGGACCTAGAGTAGGCCCTTATTCCCTTTTTGTAGGGTTCAGGTTCCCATATAAGCCCCTTTTAAACCAAAAAGGGCACCCTTTTTCTTCCTCGGTTACTCTTGGGTCTAGTGAACGGATGCCTTGGGTAGGGGTCGATTTGTTGAAGGACGGTGGGGGTGTGGTATATATATATATATATGTGGTGAAAACCTGCTTGGACGAAGGGTATTTCTAAGATCACTAGACTAGTAGACGCTCCTGTATTCAGTGTAGCAGGGTCTGGAGAGATCTTCTATGGGTTTTACTAAGGTTTGGTGGGTTGTGGAATGCGGAATGCATGCATGGGCGGATCGACGGATCTATGGATAGATGCGGACGTTTGTTTGTTTGTCTATCTGTCTGTATGCATTATAATTATATATATATATATACACATACATACGTACGTACATACATACATATGTGTATATACAATGTCTAGACATATGTGTGTATGTATATATATATATATGTGTATGTGTTTGTATAAGAGATCCCTGGGCTGATCGCGCTACTGCCAAAGCCACCCAAGAGGATCAAAGCCAGCGATCTTGGCCAAGACGCGACGCAGAGGATTCTGGAAGTCAGGCCCAAGCAACTCCCTGGGTGTACTCATAGGGATCCTTAGGGGTGTAGGGGGGAGGGGTGTAGGGGACTATATTTCCTTAAATAGGCCTTATTAGTCCTTATTATGGGCCTTAAGGCCCCCTACCCCCCCTCCCCCTACACCCCTAAGGATCCCTATGATGTACTTCAACACTGTCTTGGCCGAGGCCCCAGAGATGTCCCGGCGTAGAAAGCACGGCCGAGCCGGCGATGCATGGAGTTCCAGGGGGAGCTCCTCATATTAGGGTTTAGGGTTTAGGGTTTAGGGTTTAGGGTTCTCAATATGGATCCCAATATATTGGGGTTTATTGGCCCAGGGTTTTTTTAATCAGGTTCCTACATTGCCCAGCCTGCTTCGTCTTCGCAGGGCGGAGCTGTGACGCTCCCATGTCTGCTTCAAGGGCCGATTCCAAAGTGGATCAGGCCGATGGGTTCTTCACCCTTAGATAATCAAGTGGGTGGTTGTCAAAAGTATGGTCCCTTTCTGGGTACCCTAAATTATTAGGTGCCGTATTATAATAAGGACCCAGCAAGGGACCCCAATATTGACAACCACCCAAGTATGTATGTATGTATGTATGTATGTATGTATTATGTAAATATGGTTCAGGTGTTGCTTCAAGGGTTGTGGCTGTCCTGGTCAATGACAACTGACTACTCTTTTATCCGGCGGAGCTCAGAATCAGAGCAAGTAATATTATCCCCTTACAATAACAGAAATATTGTGACTATTAGTACGTAATTCTTATTATGATTGTTATTACTATGCAGTATTCTTCTTATTTCATTATATGCCCATCTGCACTTGAGGGTCTGACGGAGACACCTCAGCAAGAAAGGGTCGGAAGCAACAAGACAAACTTTCAACTCTTTTCCCGAAAAGTGAATGCCCGTGCCACTCGCTACCAACCGTATGACCCTCTGACCTATAACCCGAACCCCGAACACCTAACTTCAACCCGAAACCCTACAACCCGAACTCCTAACTTGAAGCCTACCCCAAACCCTAAACCAGCCCCGAAGGCAGCCCCCAAAAGCTCAACCCGGCGAACGAAAGTACACTTCACCTCTTCAGTGAAATAAACACGGCGTGCTTTTCACAGCCTAAAGCGCTAAACCCTGCGTGACAAGGCTCGCAGAGAAGCTGAACTTCAAAGTGCTAGTGCCAGCGACAACAAGAATGTCACCGATGAGGCGAACGACACGGACAGGAGTGCGCTGCTCCAACTTGATGGGGAGGTTTCGTCTTTCATGGAGCAACCTGGCCTTACCGGTGCGGAGAGGGCGACTTTGACAACAGAAGGTCTACCAGCACCCTTTCGTCGACGTTTGGACGAGATTGTGAGCCGCTACTACCACTACCGTGCCACGGACCGCGGTGCCGAGGCTCGCTGGGCGCTTACAAGCTGGCTTGAGCAGAGCATGCACGCCACGACCCTTCAAGATGTCGCCGAACGTCCACTACTTGACCGCTCCCGTGAGCCTGGTTGCTTGCCGCTACGCAGGGAACCGCCTTTGGACAGCTCCCTTCGATGCGAGCTACTTGAATGGACGGACGAGCTGACTGAATTGATGGCAGAGGTCTTCGAATTTGGTTTGGTGATCTCGAGGCCTGATAGGGTGCAGCATGCTCGACGTGAAGGAGGATCTTCGGGATCACGTGAAGGCCGCTCTCGTAGTCCACACCAGAGAGGCCACGAGAACGACCTTGCTGAAGGGGACTTGACATCACTGATGGATTTGGGAAGTCCCCGTCGTCGTGTACCTGCTGGGGAAGCTACAGTACCTCATGGAGATCTTCATCCTGTTTCTGCGGGGGAAAATGCTGGAACAATACCTCCTGGCGAAGATGGCGGGGAACATGTAGGAGAAGGGCCTGTTCCGCCTGCCATTCTCGGGCCCCTCAATCTCAGCGCCTTGTACAATGATGAGGAGCAGCTGGCTGAATGTATGGAGGAGGGAACTGGCTTTGGCACGCATGCATACACTGTACGGCAAGCTGTTCGAGATGCAATGTATCGGCCCAATGCTGGCACATCACGTGAGATTGCCCGTCGCCTCCTTGCTCGACAAGACCATATCACTGAGATACAATATTGGCTACAGAGGGCGCTTCAAAGAGTCCTTCGCACTTGTCCTCCTGGAGACAGCTCGGTGGACTGGCCCCTAGCTCGTGAACTGGAGGGCAACATATGGTCTGCCATTCTGGGTGACCGAGCAGATGAACCTATGGTGGATGCTCTACGTGAAAGACTGGCCCGTCGTCTTCGTGAACGGGATGAACAAATGGCCATGTCAAGAGCTTCTTGTCCTACGAGGAGCCACCCATACTCATTGTCATCCGGTGATCGGTCTTCTCGTACATCCCGGCCGAACCATGCACTTGGGAGAGCTCTTGAACCTGCTCCTCTACATCCTGGCGCTGGTGAACCTGCACTACATGGTCAGATGGAAAATTCTCTGGACAATGGGTCAGTGATGAACTTGGGCGACCTTTTGGCAGACCCTCTTGGATCTGGTGAGCCTGCGTCGTTCTCCTCTGGCAGTGCTGCACCTCCTCGGCCGTCTCGTCATGCTCGAGAGGTTGATCTGAGTACGCCTACGGTGCCTACTGCAGCTCCTGGACTACATCGTGGACCCGCCCGTAGCGATGATCATGGGGTACACGACTCTGGAGTTCTACATGTGCCAAGTGCTGGACGTCCTGCAGTACATGAACCTGGAGATCGACCACGACCGACGATGGCTCTACATCTTCGACCTCGTGCAACCCCTGATGGTGATGTTTCTGAACTACGTGCACGTGACCATCGGCACAGTGATGACATCGTGGACTCAGATGATGAAGACGATGAAGTGGAAGATGACGTGTGACGTGATCGTTGTTGGTGGTGGTGTTAGGCGACTTGGGCAACCTTACTTTGACTTTGAAGGTGTTGGGGCTTTCCTGCTGGACTTTGTGTACGTCTTCGGTAGTGTTTCACTTCAGTGTACGCTCGTATGAGCAGGAAGCCGTCAGGTAACCACTACACTTTAAAAAAAAAAAACCCTGCAATCCAATCCCTGACAAGCCACAAAGTTCCTGAAGCACTAAATCCCCGAAGACATAAAGCTTGACATGAACCCGACAGCCCCGCCAATTTCGAGCTCCCAGGGCCGCGCGCTGCGGCTAAAGAAGCTGTCGCCCAACACGGTGAAAGTGAATGGCCGCTCCCCAAGAAGCCGGGAGCGAGTGAAGAAAAGGGATGAAGATGAGCATATTTTGAGTGCTTAGAGATTTTCAAGGTTTAGGCCCTGAACTTCAGGGCTTAGAGAGTGTGTGATATGGTGTTCAGGGTTCACGGCCTTAATGCGGGTTTTAACTTTGGGTTTCTAGGTTTGCTGGCCAGGTGGGTTTCTAGCGTGCAAGTCGCCATCACGTCCTGGAAAAGTCAACGAATGGTATCCTCGACGGTTGTAGTGTTTCTGCGTATGTACTATTCATGTATGTATGTATGTATGTATGTGTTTGCAGGGAGGTAGGTAGTCAGGTAGATAGATACGTAGGTAAGCTGCAGCAATGAATCCGCATCGGGAGAGCGGTTGCGATGCGCTCGGATTGCTTCTTTGTCATTGGCCCCCTGTCCAGATGCTCCCTATCACCTAAACCTTAGGGGTACTTAGAAATAGTTTTTAATTTTTGGTTATTATAATCCCTAAGAAACTGCTAAAATTAAGATTTTTGCTAGGGTTCTAAGTTCGGTATAGAAACAAAGAACCTTCACACGTAAGCATTGGAAAGAAATTCTCAGCAAACTTACTGCAAAGGGGCTCTCGTGCATTGCGTTTGGGTATTACCATGATGGCATCACAGCATACTGTATTCCGCATCTTGGATGATTTTCTCGAGCAGGGGTGTTGCCCAACAGTGTGTTCCATGCGTTCGGAACCCTCGAATGGCCTAAGACCTCTGACTGGGGCGTCACGGGCTTTGGTAGCGATTCAAACATGCAGCACAAATCCAGTGGAGTGGCCTTGAACCCTAAACCGTGAAAGCTGCCAAGGGCAGAATGTTCCGAAGGAAGAGGAGGCACAATCCTCTTTGCCATAGGGGTGTGTGGAGTTGTTTATTGGGTTGCTATAGGTCATAGGTAGTATTCGCGCTTCTAGTTAGGAATAGGGTTTGGCATTCTTCATGGTTTTCTCCTAGCAGGTTGCAAACAACACTACTTGTAGGTGCGCATGTGCATTCTGAGTGTCATCGAGGAGAGACCGACTGCGATTCTGTGTGTTGGTGTGGCAGTATCTACACCTACGCCCTAAACCCCCAAAACCCCTGATAAACCCGTTTGCGTGTCAGTTCTATGTGTTGGTTGGTCTTCCTGAGTTGAGATATCCAGTTCGCAGCTTGGGAATGTCTGTTTCAGGCAGTCTTGTCCAACATCGACATGTCAAGCAGCATGACTACGAAGACATCTCCCTACTAAGTTTTAGACCGAAGGTTCAAGCCTCAAAGTTGCTGTCGAAGGCCAAGACCCAGAAGAGCAACTCTCTTGGGGCTTAGGTTCTATGTGTAGAAGCCTCGGTGGTTACCAGTTTCTGCTTCTGAGGACTCCTCGTTATAGGTAAACCTTAATAAAAACCCCAAACCCTATCCTGATTTCTGAGGCCCTTTATACTCGCGGTCCTAAATTCTCAAAACCCACCAGAATACTTGCATGATTTTTCGATTCGCCTCGGGCAGCTTTAGATTGGGGGGGGGGGGGGGGGTGGATTTGCGATATTATAGTATCCATTGTAGTTGCTTTTTGGTTAACCAGTTTTACGGTTAGGATCCTACAATACAAATTCTGCTAAGCCAAAAATGGAACTACCATGGAGACTTTAGGTAGTTGCATGGCCAAGCCCTTTTGAGATAGTAAAGCCCGAGAGACAACACCTACTCATCCGCCAGCTCCAGGTCTCGTGTCTTTAGACTTACTTTAGTTAGTAGGGAATGGAGGAATGGAGTACAATTATAGCTACTATTGCTACCATTGTTCCATTCCCTACTAACCAAAGGTAAGTAGATGAGCTCCTGGCGCCGAACTCCCATCCAATCCGACTCCACGCGCGCGGCCCGAAATATTAGCAGAAGCTGAGAAAAAGCCAAACAAAATTTGAAACAGATGTCTGAAAACACAGGCTCAAGGCTGCTCTCAAAGGGTGCAGGAACGCAGACTGGGTGCCATCTCACTGTGTACTATGTGCAACATAGACTTTACTGGTTAGGTGTTTTGGGGTTCGTGCAGACCAGCCAAGCCCGAACAACGACGCACGTAACCCTAAGCCCGAAGCGCCACAGTAGAATCGGGAGACAGCAGTATAAAGCAGAATATGCAGGGCCTGGGGTTTAGCTGTCGGACGCAGATCCTATAGCTTGGCCGTAGTGATTATGTGATCAAGCATTTCGGCATTGGAACTGCTTTTTCTCTTAGGACACGTAGGATCAATGCGAACCGCCGGCACAGGTGTCCTTGCCGCCGCATGCCACCATGGAGTTTTGCGGCGCCGACCCCGGTAAATCTTCGGGTGAGAGAGGGGGATGAGGTGGAAAGCGTTGATTTTGTATCATATGTTTTGAACCTCAAACACTAAAAGAAAAAGGACTAAACCTCATCTTGAGCGCTAGATACATATAAGGGTTCCTTTAAGGGTTTAAGGGTTAAGTTACCATTATAGGGATCTATAGTAAATATCATCCTAACCCCCAAGCCGCTACACCCCACCACATGAACCATGCCCTTCCTTGCTGGTAAGAAAAGACGCGTTTTAGGGTTTGGGGTTTTCGGGTTTAGGGTTTTAGGCCAGTCTCTTGATTTATTCTTGTCGGGTGGTCCTACGGTTGGGTGGTTCAGGGTGTAAGGTTCAGGGTGGGGAACAGCATTGGCCAAAGGTGTCAGTCAGGGTGTAATTTAGAGGTTTCAAAACGAGTGATCATATGCAGTATAAGTCCCGTATCAATAGTGTATCTTATAACATCTTATAGCCCTAAACCTCACTCTCGCTACTGAAGCCACTATCCGAGAGGTGTTTCGCTTCTGGCGAGCTGCGATTCAGTTTCAGGTGTCTGTGCTCCAGAGTGTTTAGGGTTAGGCACTCAATGGTTTAGGAGTGTCGGTGGTCCAGTGAGTGTTCACTGGCTCACACATGCTTTTGGCATCGCTGGTTTTCAGCTCTACCTTAACCCTTCCCTTTTGGGGTCCTTATTTTAATACGGCACCTATAGGGACCCTAATTCTGACAACCACCCATGTCACTTTCCACAAACCTAAAGCAGAGGTTCGAGAACTTGGTCTAATCCACGAAGCCGAACTCCTTGAAGCATAGCCTAAATCCTAAACCCCTAGACCCTAACCCCTAAAACCCAAACCCCGATCCTTTCACCCAAACCCTAAAAACCTGGATTCCTTGCAGCTCCACTTGCCGCCCTGACTCCGGATCGCAGGTGATCATTGTAACATGGGTAGCTCTCTGTAAGTCAGGGCCCTTTTTGGCTCCCCAAAATCGTACGGCACCCTCAAAAAAAGGACCCTAACTCAGGAAACCTTAAACCCTTATAAAAGGACCCTAAAAAGACCCTAACTTAGGGAACTACCCAGATAGCGGCTTTGGGGCCGTCATGATCGGCGCTACCATTTAATTGAATCTCCGGGTTCACTAAAGAAACCAACGGAAGAACACCCAAAGACAGTTTAAACCACCACTCCCATCCTTGGGCATAGCCATATAGAAGGCAAGAGTGACATGGGTTAACCAGTACAGTTTTTATTCGTCATCGTGGGCAGGTCTTCAACATCATGAATGAGCATCCTTAAGTTACTCAAACCAAATGCCCTGAACGCGCAGCCTGGAGCCCTAAGCTGCAAACCTCAGGGTGTCTTAGTGTCTTGAGGCTTAGCTGTATGGTCATATCTCCAACCGGCAAGCGACTTGTCAAGCCCTCCGAGCTGTTGCGCACAGCATGCGGATCACCACGCTGCTTGCCGTTGCGGCTGCATCCGTCGCCGCAGTTTCACTTGACGACTCGGCAACGCCTTCGAGCGCAGCTGCTGGATGCTAACTTTATAAGGGCTCAGAATGGGGGGGGTCAAGGGTTACAGCCTTATAGCATTCGGCTTCGAAGCTACATGCATGGTCAGGCTGTTGGTGAAGTGGGGTGCAGCTTCTCATTTGTGAGGTTCAGGGCAGGTGACTGAGAATCTCCAAGAGATGATGCTGCGCAACCCTACCCTGGTGAAATTCCTCGAAGCAGACGTCCCTTCTTGCATGAGTTGGTTCTAAGGATACTGCAAGGGGTAAGGGATTTTGGGAGTCAACTGGAAGCCTTCATGAGAGAGCCCACAGGAGGCAGGAATCTCCATGTCTTACGTGAGGGACTTAGTTTCAGGGTTTTGGGTGAGTGTGCTGAGGAGTATTTGTCGGGATGCCAGCGGCAAAAACTCTAACGTGGGCTTAAGCCCTAACCCTAGTCCATAAACCTTAATCCCTCAATCCTAAACCCTATACCCCAAACCCTAGACCCCTAAACCCTAAACCCCTAAACCCTAAACCCCTAAACCCTAAACCCCTAAACCCTAAACCCCTGGGTTCAAGAGATTTAGGGACGGCCTTCTGCCCCCGTCTTCTTGGGTTTTTTTCAACGCTCCTCTCTGGTAGTTTCCCAGAGAGCCCAATACCCCTTATTTAAAGAATATAGCTTAAATCATAATATGAAGCCCTATATAATTTAAGCCATATACCTTAATTAAGGGGTATTGGGCTTTCTGGGTTCCTCGGTCTCGAGAGACAAAGCGTGCAGCAAGGTACCGTTAATAGATGTCGGGCCCTTCTCCCGTTTAAGAGGTTCATTGCTTAGAGTAGCCGCGGCACCGTCAAGAACATGTCAATGCACCAATTTGTTTAGGGTCATGGTCTGTTTTCTTTTTGTTGCGGTTCATTGCTTACTCTAGGTAAACCTATATTGCAAGCAACAGGAGTGCCATTTTCTCTGGAGTCCTGATCGGCATTTTATCTTGGGTACTGCCCCACCCAAAAAGTCCAGGTACCAGTATAGTAGGTACTTAGTACCCTCAAGCAAAATACTAGATGCTTACTTGGACCCATCGGAAATGTAGATATATTAGGACTTATTCGGACCTTAGTGGTGGGCTGTTACTGTATGGGGACAGTACCCAAATGTTACCGTTGGAGGTATTGGACTTAGGGTTCGGGGCTTGGAGCGCAATCAAGGTTTCGAAGTTGAACGTAGCTCCTGGAGCCCTTACCTGCAGAGTTTACTCGTAGGGTTTATACAGGTGTTGAGGCTTTTTATCGTTTTTGAAGCTCGAAAGCCCAAACCGCAAGCCGGTATCCGGATTCTGCACGCAAGGTTCAAGCAGAGGTTCAAGCAGATGCATCGCACCTTGCCGGTTTTGTCGGTTCGCTCAGGTTTGGGGATCAACCGGGATCAGCCCCTTGCCTGCTGTACTGTAGTCGCTCGAATCTGTAAATAAAGTAATGTCAAGTTTGCATCCAAGGCCAAAACCTTGAACCGTTCTACTACCCCAAACCGTCCTAAACTTAAGCTCTAAACCCTGAAGCCTAAACCCTATAAACCCTAAACCCTGAGGCCCCTGAACCGGGCTTTCGGCTCGAATCATCTGCAGGACCACAGCACTGCGCCGGAAAATTCCGACACACAGCAAACCCGCCCCAAGACACTCCTGCCGCTGCTACCGCAAAAACATATGAGTAGTTCTCTAAATTAGGGTCCCTTCTTGGGTCCCCTATATAACACGGCACTCTTACAATAAAAGGTACCCTAATTTAGAGAACTACCCAAAGGGCTCTACAATGGGGTTAAGCAGGGACTCGACAGACATTCGCGGATAAAGGGGCGGAATGATTCGTAATCCTGATTCTCATTGGAAAACCGCGAATATCCGAATCCTTCGACACTCTCCCTGTAAAGCTGAGGAAAGAACGCAAACAAAATGAAAGTTCAAACCGTCCGTGGGTCTCCGATGCATGTTTACCCCGGTGCTCCTATGTAGGCTTACGGGGTGTTACTTTCCACAAACTGAATCCCTGCATTAGTTCATGCAGGTATGACAGCAGTATCTACCCCAAGCCCCAAGCATACGATGGCACAACCCGTAATGCCGTCAGGGATTGCTGCATGCAGCTTGCATCCGAATGGAACAAAGTTCAAAGAGACCTGGACTGAGTACTACACACCAAAGGCTGACTACTACACAGTGCTTCATGGCTCATGCGTAGTTACAAGCTGTAACTTGCACCAAAGTAATACCTACTTCGAACCCTAGTTCCATTGTACTCGACTGGCTACCTTCCTGAGAGCTGCCCATAGAGTCCCAGGGTACGCATTTTCGAGCGCCAATGCCGGTGCTACTGCTTTTCAACCTCAGCACGGAGCAACTATGCGCACTAGTCAACATGATCAGCGCAAGAGTAGTAAGAAGGTCCTGAGCACTACTACGAACAAGAGAAGCAGGGCAGCTTTGCACAGTGCGCAGAATGGTAGCGACAGTAACAGCAGTAAGCTCTCTACACGCACTACTGGACAGGATCCGCGGCTTGACTTCGTAGTAGCAACATCACCAAGCCATGCCTTTCGGCATTACGATACTTTAAGGTTTCCATCCCAGTTTTTCCGGTTAAACCATCAAGCCAAAACCCTGATCCCTAAACCTTACGGTTCTACAAGTTCTGAGAGGGAGTGCAAGCAAGATAAACAGTTGCCCTTTTCTATGTGGGATTTCCATGCTGGCGGATAGAAAAGAGGCTCCTGAAAAAACGCCTTACAGTTCAGGCTTGGGCTTGCGCTGCTGACGAGAAGATCCTCCGTCTTATCGCCGCTTCACAGCGAGTTGGGAAAGACCCTTCAGGGATTATTGAAAGGGTATGATGACGTTCACTATAAGGGTAATTACAATAAAGGTTACTCTAGGGGTCCCTGTAAGTTTACTTGCGATCATAAGGGTACTAAAGCATGTTTGTGACGTAGGATTTCGGCGTAGGGTTTTTATATCATGCAACAGTGGGGGAGTCCCATGGTTAGGCATCCACAAAGATTAGTCCCGCTGTTGAGCATCTGGGATGTACGCTAAACTAGCCTAGCCCACTTACTTTGCTGTTTTAAGTTTTCCTGCCGTGTTACCATCATTGTCGTTGATTTAGACACCTTGTGGTCTAAGAACCCTGAACCCTAAACCCTAAACCCTAAAGCCCAAGCGCTACACCTTGCGGTCTGGGGTTCAGGAGAGCCAGCGAGACGGCAGAGATCCCCTTTACGCTGCTCTTCAACCACAAGAGGCTGCCTGTGTCTTGAGCATTTTGGGCTTCCCGATGTAGGCATTTGATGGATCAAGAGCTTCAGAATCCAACTAGTACTAAACGTGGCAGTAATACAGCAACATGATGAGACTGATTCAGTGTGATAGCAACGAGTGCCAATAGAGTATGATGATGAGAAGACTAGTCGTAAGAATGAGAATAGGAAGAAGAAAGTTAAGAAAGTCCCTTAAGCGCCAAGCCTCAAAGGCAAAGGCCTAAGCCCTAAATCCTTAAACCCCTAAACCCTAAACCCCTAAACCCCCGAAACCCCTAAACGCTAAACCCCTAAACCCCTAAACCCTAAACCCCTATACTCTGAACCCTAAACCCTCAAAGGCAGAGAGGCCTGAAGTCTAAACCCGTTTTCCGGAGCTTTGATTCTTCGATGCGGGCAATCTCATGGCCTAAGTGTGTAGAAGGGAGCTTGGCAAGTCCAAACGTGGAGGCAGTGAGCATATGAGAGGTACAAGTAGGGTTTTTATGGAGCATTGAGATTCTTTAGGGTGTGAACTAACCCTAAACCCTAAACCCTGACCCTATTATAGATCCCTTATAGATCCCTTAAAGGAATCCAGATTTTCGACCTTGGGAGTCTCTCCTTCTGTCTCTTCACGTTCCATTCCGTCCGGGGGGCTTGGTGTTGCATTTGCTGAGCCTGGGTGTTGCCATAGGTTGCATGAGATACTGATGCTTTTCTTGTCATTCGGATAGGAGCAAGTGGTTGAAGAATGTTCTGCTAGTCTCGGAAGATCTCAACTGCTTTGGTCCTGTCGCGAAGCCCGTGGCTGTGGCACGTGTAGTCGCGGTTGTTGTGTCTGTTTAGCTTCAGTGTCGCATCTTGTTTTGTTATTGCTTCGCTTTGACATAATTGATATTCTTGCACATGTAGTGTCGTGTGCTCGTGTTGCTTTGCCGTCGTTGTGGTCGTCATCCCTCATGCCTTGATGCACGGTGCCGTCTAGGAAGCTCCTACAGTTCTGGAAAATACGTGCCCAGTTGAAGACCATTTCTCGAGTTGTGCGTGCTGTGTGGGTAGAGAGAACTTGAAAGGACTTTAGGGTTTGGGATTGAAGCTCGCCTAACCTTAATCCCACATCCGATGTTGCGGTCGTGTCATAAGGATACGGTTTGGTGGTATACTGCGTTACCGTTTAGGGTTTAGGGCTAGTTGTTTGCACAAGGGCTAGAAGGGAGTACATGTCCCCCTATTGGGGTCTCCACCGCCCCGCCACAGGAATCTGATGAAGCTGTCCGACGAGGACCCCGGTAGGGGACTTTTTGTCTGACCTGGAGGCACTGAGACGCATGAGCTATGCACGATGTCATTCATTCTCATACTAATGCTCGACCATGATGTTTCAGAACCCTGAGCCCTGCTGTAGGGGTCGGAATAATTGCCGATGCCATTCCTCATGGTTCCCAATCATGGCCACGGCACAAGACACCCCGCACCCTGTTTTAAAGACCTTTCGACGTATCTGTTGAAGGCTCACTCACACTCACCCTCACGAGTGTGATGATGTCCTTGAAACACTTGGGTCTCAATCAAGATGGCTTGAAACGTTCCCTTCCGAAGCTGCTTTCCCTGCAGGTCTTTTGTTCATTCCTGGTTGGATCTAATCTAACCAAAGCACTGCACCCCAAAACCCTACTAGCCTATTAAAACTCTAACTACTAAGGCCCCTACATTCAAACCCTGTGGAACCCTTACTGGAACCCTTTACAGAAACCCAAAGGAAAAAGAAACCAAGATCGCCCGAACTAAGTGTGTTAGGGCGATTTTGGTTGGTTTGGCTCTGCTGAACTTGGCGGCATCCTGAGTAGGGGCCAAAACCCCCCTTTGTGCTGGAAATGCCTCGTTTGGGGTCCTGGTTGGATTGTGGTTGGTTGTAGTACAACTTTAGTACTGGAAATGCCTCGTTTGGGGTCCTGGCTGGGTGCAAAACCCAAAATCGCCCTAACACATTGTGTTAGGCCATTTTCGGTTCTGTAACTCCCAGGCAACCTTCTTTGCTTCGTTCTTGGGTCAACAGCAAAAGCGAGCAAAGACCAAAGAAGGGAAGAGAGAAAACAAGAATAACAAAGACCGCAAAAGTAGCAAAAAGCAAAGAAGAGCAGAAACATGTAGAACCCTGACCCCTAACCTGGAACCTTTTTCGGTTCTGTTTCTATTTCGGTTCGGTTCGGCGCTTCCGGCTTTACAACTCGGTTCACAGGTTCCGGTTCTGACGGTTCCGGTTCCACGGTTCGCGGTTCGGTTCCTTCGCTTCCTGCTATTCACTGGCAGGACTTGGCTTTCGATCAGCAGACGAGCCTGCTTCGACAAAATGCCACAGAGCTGAAGCAGGGTGTCGATTTGGGGTTTAAGGTTTATGGGTTTATGAGGTTTCTACCGGACGGTTTGGACCTAAACCCAAAGCCCTGAACCCAGGATTCAAGTGCTCCGGACGACAGGAGGCCAGCTGCCCCTCTGGGTCACATACTTTCAGACTGGGGGGAGCTTTTCTGGTTTCGGAAGGATGGGGTCAGAAATTGATAGCTAATGGTACTCTTGACTGCTGACCTTCCATGAACTAGCCCAGATCCCAGGCATCTAAGAAGTAGAGCTTCAAAGACGGTTAAGTTCTCGCAAGAACAGACAGGCAGTCCCGTGATCCAAAGGAAACCGTCCTTAGATTCCCGTGGCCAGCCCAGTTCCAGATGCAAGAATGTTTCATGCGGGGTTTGCAGGGAAGGTGTGGTTCCTTTCCCCTGTCCGAGACAGATGTTTCCAGGCGGACCCGCATCAAACACAAAACCCCCTAAACCCGTATAAACCCTAAACCCGAACAATAAGTCCGTAAAGCTCCCAACCCCAACCCCTTGATCCCTCAACCTGGCTGCCAGCTAAGGTCTTCCACACCATCGAATCTTTTCGAGGTGCCGGGGAGCCGAAGGTCTTCTTCTGGGCCGCTCGGCTGGGTTTCGGGCAGTACAATCCGTTTTTGTTGGTATCGGGACCTGAACCAGTAGTAATGTGTTTCTCCTTTGCCAAAAGTATAGCAGACTATATCACCAAACCCTCTTCTAACCATTACAGCTTCTTCGTTGGGTTTTTGGGGGCTTTGCTTTTAGGGTTTAAGGCTTTGGGGTGGGCATCCTGATCTTTACCTTCGTTGCGGTGGTTCCTGGACGGGACACAGTTTGACCGATTTAGGGTTTTGACTGTGGGGGTTTAGGGTTCGTGGCTTCATTGCAATTCGCGTTGCAGCTTGTTGGGGCTGGTCTGGTGACACACCCGAGCACCTGAACCCTGGGCTTAAGATTCAGGCTTCAGGCTTGCGACCTCAAGGGTTGAACGAGGGCTTCAGCCTTGATCCAGGTTGTCCTGTTCTTTGATTTGTTGCATCAACTGCGACTCATGTCGCATTGTGAGACGAACTGTCATCCGAATGCGAAGCTCGACATGCTAGACGACGCCCTCCAGCCTTGAACCCTAATGCCTGAACCTCTGAGCCCTAAACCCAGACCCTACTATGTGCATAGGCTCCATAGCAGCTCCTTCTTGGGACTACCTTATAGGATCCAAAGATGAACCCCCAAAAGGAACTACTATGGAGCCTATGGGTATCCTACCATATGGGAGTTTCCGAGAATTAGGGATTCTTATAATAGGGATCCTACTTTTTAAGGTACTGTATTAGGGTCCCCGGCAGGGTCCCCTTTTTCAACAAACCACCACCCCAGGACAATGCAGAGTGCGCGCAGGGACTTCGCAGCCTCGAGCAGTTTGGAGGCAGAGGGTTTAGGGATTTAGGGGTTTAGAGATTTAAGGTTTAGGGGTCTGGGGTTTAGGGGTTTCGGGTTTATGTTTTAGGGCTTTGGTGTTTAGGGGCACAAGGGTTCAGGGGTTCAGGGAGAGGGTCGAGTCGAATGTCGCCCAAAAGGCCAGAGGAGCAGTGAGATCTCGCCTCGACACATTCTCGGGATGGGATTCAAGGAAAATTCGGGTGTCTGAGTAATTAGCAGTGATTGGCGAGAGTGTCCCCCGAAAGTCATTTCGAAAGGAAGAAATAATATTCCCCAAAGCCCTGTTCTAGCTATTTCTGCTTGCCATGGGAGTTTGTAAACCTGGGGAGTCGTTGTGAGTACCAATCTTGCTTTGCTAATGGGGTCTCTGTAAGGTGAGTTGTGCTTTCGAAGTTGTATATAAGATTCGGGCAGAGGGTTTCGCAGCTAATGGCCATGGGCCACGGCCTTACACTTCCTGTGTGTTGCTTTTATGAGCGACCTTTGCGCAAGCGCCCGTCAGTTGAACCCTAAACCGTAAACCCTAAACCCCTAAACCCTAAACCCTAAACCCTGGATTGCACCAACTTGGTCCGAACAGCAACCCAACCCAAAAAACCCTAAACCCCTAAACCCTAAACCCACAGTTGCTGTGAAGGTTGTTAAAGGTTCCTGAGAAGGATCCTCTTCTTTCCCGGATTTGTGTTAATATAGGAGCTTTCTCAATATAACTACAGTATCATCGGCCCCAAAACCCTATTCTCATTATTAAGGCCCCTGTATTATGGCTCCTTGTTCCTCCACGGGATGCCGTTTCCCCGCCTCAGTGCGGTCAGGAAGCGAGCTTGCCAAGGATTTCGCGTCTCGGCCTGCAGCTGGAAACCCGAGTGTGGAGGATTACGGCAAGAACAGGACCATGGCAACACAGGAGCATAGAACACCGCACACAAAGCAAGCACGACAGCCACAGCAACGACCACAATCAACCAGCTAGCTACATTGATTTGCTCACTTTGTCAGCTGTGCTCTCTCAGCATGCACCACTTGTGTTGTTGCAGCTCCGGCTATTCCGGCCAGCAGCTTTGATTCGCTCATGAGAGGAGAAACAAGGCTTCTGAGAACGAAGATATCAACCCAGAGCGCGAGAGGCAAAGAACACGATTCTGCTTCTTGCGAAGGGAACGCCACTGCACATGCAACCAAGCAAGGAAGCTCGCGAAGATCAGACCTAAAACTCGAATCCCCGGAGCAAGCAACATCCAGGAGAGTGAGCCAGCAGGCGCGTGTCGTGTTCTGGAGGGAGCTGAGCTGTTGGGAAGTTCCTCAGGCGTTCGGCTTCAAAGTTGTCGGCTTCGGCTGAATTTCTGTTTGGGCTTATGCAATATACGTGACAGAAGAGCAACTAAGGGTAGCTAGCTCCCAAGGGTAGCACCTAGTAGCATAGCCTCTGTATGATTAAAACACTAAAAGGTGCCCCTACATCCAGTTATCCGTGCCCCAGATTGCACGTTCAAGCCGATGTCTTCAAAGAACGATGGCCATGTAGATCATAACGGGGAATAGTGAGAGATATCTTCATGCAATGACAATGCTAAAACACCCCGTAAGCCCGCAACCCTAAATCCTGACCGTGAAGCCTCAACCCGAACCGGCCGGCAGGCATGGTGAAATCTGATCTCTGCCGCTTAGCCATGCTCTACCTCTACGGAGGCATCTGGGAAGTTTCGAGGGTTAGGGCTGCTAAGCCCCAGTCCAAAGCTTAAATATAAACCCTAAGCCTAAGACCCACTCAATCGTCCCCTCGACAGGACAATCGCATTGGCTTTTTTATGTTCTGGATGGACCACCTTAGATAGACCTGCACTTCTGTGGTTCATGTGCTTCGGGCGTTCCGGCTTGGAGCAACCGGACGAGCTTCGATTAGACCCTCCAGGATTCGGGCTTTTGAGCTTGTCTTGAAGCACTGTATGAATAGTATATAGTGTGTGTCTGTGTGTGTGTGTATGTTTTGAACTTTGACTATAGGAGAAGGTGGGAAACATGTGGTTGAGGTCGAGTTCAGGCATTTTAGCTTTGTCGTAAACTGTAAGTTGGTGTGTAGGAGGCGACGGGTTGCCGATAGAAAACCCGCGAGGACCCTGAAGTATTCCCCGGGGCTCCCTGCCACAATTGTAGTACGAGATATTGCAGCACCCGAGTCTAATTCCTGCGGCCCCTATACTTTAGTTAAACCTTTGCGGTTTAGTTCGGGCTTAGGGCTTAGTCGTGTAATGTGGGCTTAGGGTCTTAACAGTATCAAAGGCCTTGCAGCCCGTAAACCTCTGAACCAAAACAACTCGGAGGATACTACTTCGACACGGACATCTTGCCTGTTGTTCCCATGTGACGCGACAGTACTTAAAGGGAACTCCAGAAAGCTGGAATATGGTTTCAGGGTAGGATACCTTATAATTTACCATAAAGGGTTTAGGATAATCATATTCCAACTTTCTTGCTTTTACTTTAATCGAGGAGTGTCGGCTCAGGGTCTCAAGTAAAAGCCAGAAAGTTGGAATATGATTGTCCTAAACCCTTTATGGTAAATTATAAGGTATCCTACCCTGCAACCATATTCCAACTTTCTGGAGTTCCATTTAGGGCCTGGGGAATGAATTCCTGTTCGTCAGGGCACATGTGATATGTTTAACTGCACATAGCAGCGGCAAGAAGTGCTCATGAAGATACCGCCAGGCAGCACTCCCCGCAACGTAGCACGAAAAGTCCAGCAGTTCTGCCATGAAGCAGTACCGGGACTCCGAAATTGTTCGTAGCAGTGGCCAGAATTTGCCGCTATGTTCGCAGTGTACTAGACATATCTACCCCGCAGTTAATTCCGAGTACCCCGAAGTTGAAAGCTATGTAGACATCCAGCCGGAGTACTGGATTCAGATCGCTACTTGTGGGGCAAGCGAAATACATCAGTGGATTCAGAAAAAGCAGCAGAGCGTCGCACGCAAGAGAACAAGGACAGCGCAGGGTAGCAAGGCTTTACTTCCTCGCATGTCGGTCTCTCTAGGAACAGCTTACTTCCCGCTTAAGCTTTACAGCAGCTACAGCAGAAGCCCTGAGCATGGCAGCTAAAGTAGTAGCGGGACACATCGCGACGCAATAAGCCGCTAAGAGCGAGTTCGTTACACTTCTAAAAACGACGGCATCATGATCTTCATCAACAGCATTAATCATCAGCGTCATCCTTATTACCAACATTGGCATTATCGCGACTAGATGTTCAGCTTCTGTGAAGCCATCACGGGCATCATCATCATCATCATCACCATCATCATCGTCATCATCACCATCTTGGAAACTCCGTGTCATCATCTTCTTTGTCACCACCATCATCAGCACCAGCATCGTCAACATCAAACATCGGCATTACCCATCACTCATGATCTCACCACCATGTACGGCAGCCTAGCACCATCGAAGTAGGAATGCTAAAGATGCAGCGGCATGCAGGAGCTTCGTAAGAAGCAGATTTTACGCAAAATCCCAAGCCTCGAACCCAGCGCTGTATTGGTATGAGGTACGACCACCTGGGCAAGGACATAATGTGGGTCCACGCATGGTTTGTATCCGAGCTATGGTTGGCCACTTTCACAGGTCAAAGTCCTTTCCACCTGTGGGTGCGTCGTGGATGCTGTCTAACATACTGATAGATACACATCTAAAAGTAATACAGAGATGGGATACAGGCTTTGGACATAGATATAGGCATACGTATAGTTAGACAGGTAGAGATCAGGTACGAGGGGAATAGACAGATGGATAGGTAAGTAGACACGTAGGTAGGTTGGTTGGTAACTACGTACCGAAGGTAAGTAGGTAGAAGGTTACATCGCTATGCAAATAGACAGCCAGGCATACAGACAGGGGTTGATAGACAAATAGATAGATTGTACGTAGGTAGACACATAGACAGATAGGGTGACAGGCAGATAGGTGGTGGATAGGTAAACCGATAGATAGACAAGTATATACAGACAGATAGAAACTTATCGATAGATAGACAGATGCAGAGACAGAGCGACAGAGAGCGAGAGAGACAAATGTGCGTAAATATATATGTAAAAAAAGATAGGATGGCTAGATAGAGAGTGTTAGCGAGTTCGAGATGACAGAGAGAGAGAGAGAGAGAGAGAGATCGATGTAGATGCACTGAGATAGACACGGCACTTAGGTTTGTAGCCTACAACCATTTCCCGACCAACTTAAGAACTTAGACTAGCCATTGCAGGACACGACTTTTGCGACGGTGGTTGCGACGGATGGAGACAATCTCTTCCAAGCGCCACCCATCAGAGCAGAGGGAGCTTCGAAAACATGTGCAGGATTAGGTCGTGAAAGAGTCAACACCGCGCCTTGCACAGCACTATGAAGACTGCTACAGCAGCACAATTTCAACCAAAGCTCTGCCGAAGCCCAACAAAGAACACAAATGGAGCATCAGACTACGAAACCCCAAAGCAAATGGTGAAATCCAGGTTCCCATACTGAAAAACTCAAAGAGTGTAGGGTTCATGCAGGCCCTTGGACTTGGGCTTGAAGGTTCTGCGTTCAAAGCCTGCATCCTTGGCTTGGGATGGAAGGCAACATCCTGTACTTGGAGGGTCGGGGGACTTAGTTACTGGTTATTTTCGGTACTTATAAGTACCATAACCCCAATGAGGGTCCCTTATAGGGTACTTATAAGTCTACTTACTACCTACTTACAGTCAAGTGAACGGCCTGAGCCCGGAAGCCCTAAACCAGGCCTTAGTTCAAAGCAAGCCAGCAGTTAACCGAGAACATCAAGCCGACCCTAGATCGAACTGCCCTACTTCAACCTGATACACGCCCAACCTCTACACCTCACGATTCCCACCCAAAACTTCGAAACCCACCAGCGGACTATGCCTCAATGCTTAAAACCCGGCCCACGTCCCGACCCCTGGGAGTACTTCGTTGAATCTGGCAGGCGCACCCAGCCCAAACAGTCCTGAAACCCCCAGGAGTAAACCGCACATGCAAGGAAGAAAGCCCCCAACACTACAGTTCCATGGAGATGAAGATGGAAATCATGCTGAAGCCCTAAGCCCCTGGATGCCCAAAGCTTTCGCCGAAACCTGACACCCTAAAACCCCCAAACCCTAGGTCATCTTCAAGCATGGGGGAATTCCCCGAGGTTCATGGCCGCGAGCCCTCGGCACCCACTGATTGCAGAGGCGCTGCGGACTTTCCGAAGCTGGTCACTTGGCACTGCTGGCTTTGAGCTCGGGCTTTGGGCTTTACCTATAGTCTCCATTGTAGTTCCTTTTTCTGGTTTAACCAAATATATAATAAGGATCCAAAAAGGTAACCCCAAAAAGGAACTACAATGGAGACTACAGGTTAGGGAATTAAGGGTCCAGGGTTTCGGGTCTAGGGGTTTAGGAATTTCGGGGGTGTAGGGTTGATGTGTTTCAGGGTTTAGGATTCAGGGCCCTGAACTGGAGGGTCTCGGATATTGTGGGGCCGGATCTCACGAACTTCGACGCCTGAAGTTCGAGACCCTTAACTCGTAACCTAGAACCCCTAAACCCTGAGGCCCCTCGGCCCAAGAACATCTAAGCCCTGAACCCTAAACCCCTCCAAGCCCTCAACCCCTAAGCCCCAGCAAGCCCCTAAGCCCCAAACCCCTTTCCCCTAAACCCTAAAGCCCTTAATCCCAAGCCCTAAACTAAACCCCATTCCCTAAACCCTTTTCCCGGATGGGTGGTGTACCTTGAGTTCGTCAGCCAGTGAGAGTTCGATTTGAGATGGCCCTGCACTTGACCAGTAAGTGTGGGGTCCATGGTGTGCAAGCCGACTGCCGGATTAGGGTTTAGGGTTTAGGGTTCGACCTGGAGAAAAGGCCACTACACTCAAAAAAAATTCCCCCCCAATAGACTATCGCTCCTATGAGGTACCGTGGCGACCTCCAGTCAGGCAAGGGCGAGAAAGGGATTTAAGGGGGCTTACCCGCTTTAGGGGTTTGGGGTGGTTGGGGGAAAGGGATTGAAACCAAGGTTTTAGGAGTTTCGTGCAGCAGACTTCATCGCTTGGGTCTGCAGTCTACACATCGACTGAGCAGGGCTGCTGTGAACGTCTAACAGCTTTTCCTCGAGCATTGAGGAGGCTCCATTCAGGGTTGAGGCAGAGGGGCCTTGCGGCTGCAGATCCCCGGACTGCCCATGATCTTGCCCTGTGCCACACATTTCTTCGAAACTCCCAAACAAACAAAGAAACACTGGAGCATCCCGTCTGGATCCGACACCTCAACACCTGCTGAAAGCAGATCCAGGTTCTTGCGAACGTAGGGCTCGGAGCTCTAGTACCTACCCGGGTGCTAGTATGCAAAAAACTCGACGTGTGAGGCACTGCCGGTGGCAATGTGGGCACCGTCCTCCTGAAGCAGGCTTTTTGAGAGTTTTGGGCTTGGGGAGTGGCTCAGGAGGACTCAGTGTTCAGGCCCGAAGGTCTAGCTCTTAAGGGTTCCTTAAGGTTTTCCACCAACAGTGTGGTAGACACCATGAGGTTCCAACCTTTCGAGCAACAAAAATGTATCGCCCTCGTGTCCCTTTGTTTGCACACGATCCGTGCAGCCATTGAGTATTGTTTACTGTTGTACTTGGGCCAATGGGTGTGCAGGCCTTCAACGACTGGTCTGGGGAAGCTGTCGCGAACCGGGTCGTCCATCGCCACGGGCACGCGCCTCGCCAGCAGTTGAAGGCATGAAGGCATGAAGGCCTTAGGGCTTTACGCCTGCAGGGCTGTGTAAGTCTCTTTTTGCCAGGGTTGATGAGGACATTTGGGATTAATTCGGGGTGTTGGGATTTTGCAGGATGCATGTGGTGTGCCCCTATGCTTGCTCGAGGCCTTGAACTGTTAGATACCAACACCCTGATTCTTGATGGCCCGCTGCTTGGGTTGAGTATTTGTAGAGCTGGAGGGAGCATGTGGAATACGGAGGATCTGGTTTTGAGGGTTGACAGGTTGTTTGATTCATGCCAAAGGCGCATGCGCCGCAACTCGAGGTGTCGCGCTTCTTCACTGAGGGCAAGATAGAGAGCCTGAAACAAAAGTTCTCCGGACTACTGCAGGGGAAGCTCGGACTCAATGGCTGCTGTTTCCGGGCTCCCTTATTAGCCTTCATTTGCTGGGTCTTTAAACTGAATTCTCAAACTTTGCGTGCAGGTTTGGTCAGTTTCAGCAAACACTTCTTTTCGGCAAAGCAACACATGGCTTCGATTCAATGTGTTGTGGAACTTGAGGTCTCGAATTTGTCTGCAAATGTTTCGAGTTGGCTCTTTGGGCAGGCTTTACTTTAAGGCTTCAAAACGGCACAATTAGGGATGTGACTATGTAGATGCGCGACATACGAATGGCCGTCGTTACTTTCAGTTGTTTTCGGGGCATGAAAGACTATGATGTACACAGGTCTGAATAATGAGAACTACTATCCTCTCATAGTCCAATTACATGCCTGCGCGGCAACACACCCCCAAGAAATCCTCGTTGCATGCATTGGTTCTCGGTAGGCCTTTGGGATATTTTATATTTTTCCTTATTGTCTTTAATAGGGCCCTATTTGCGAATATTTGTCCGAGGCTTTAAAGGGCCAACCTAGGGTTGCAAGGCCCGATGTCAGTCATAGGAGACCTTCGCTTTCCAGAACGGAGTCGGAAACAGGAACCGGATTTTGAGTTTTGGGTTCTAGAGATGGTTCAAGCTTCAGGGGCTGGGGTGTAATATGATCTAGAAACCTAGGGTTGCTGTAAGAGGCCTTCAAGGTTTCTATAAGCTTCAGGCTTGTTTTGTTTTGTCTGATGGGTTCAGGGTTCAATATTCCGCCCCAATCCCAAAAGCTGCAACTTCCCACCGAGGTCTTCAGAGGGCCTGTGTGCCTGGTTTGCACTTCGATCATTTCATTCTTTATGTGGGTGGTTGTCAAAATTATGGTCCCTTTTTGGGTCCTTATTATCATTGTTTAGGGTACCCAAAAAAGGACCCTACCTTTGACAACCACCCATGTGTCAGATTTCCTCCAGGAGAGTGTCGGATTTGGGGTTACCCTGAGCCCTAAACCCCCAAACCCCAAACCCCCAAACCCTAAACCCCTAAACCCTAAACCCTAAAAAATTCCCTAAACCCTAAACCCTAAAAAAATCCCTAAACCCCAAACCCTAGACCCCTAAACTCCTAAACCAACCAACCAACCTACCTACCTAAACCCGTCCCTCTGCCAGGGAGATTCTGGGGCTTTGCGGTTTTTTTGCTGGGACTTTCCGTGTTTTCCGCAGGCCGAACTACTGGGCTTTGAAGTACCATACGTTAATACTTCTTTTCTTAAAGGAACCCTTATGAAATAAAAGTTTGTACTTTTTTCTCCCTGATTACCTAAAAGCCCAGACTAGCCCAAAGGGTCCAAGTGCCATTATAGTAGAGACTTAGTACCCTAAAGTGCACAGGAAATGGTTACTTGGACCCTTGGAGTAGATAGAGCAGTTGTTTGGAAGAGATCGGGTGATCAGGTGTGTGAAAGTTTCAGAAAGTTCAGCGGCAGCAATACAGACCTTACACCTTAGCAAACCGTCCCCCGGAATAATTAGACAGATGCTGCTTCTGTGTTCAGAAGCCCTGTAAAGGCCTTCTGCGATCATTTCATTTAACAAACCTCAAAGTAAATACAGGTGTTGGCCGAGGATTCAGCTTTGATGATTTGCCCCAAAGGTGGTTTCCGACACTAGGCTGCACAGAAATACTGTAGGGGCCTCAATGCCACATTGCTACGATATAAGGGATCCCTAACTCTACTTACCTTCATCTCACCTTGTGAGGCCTGCAAATGATTCACTAGGGCCTCCCGGATTGAGGGCTTTGGGGTTTTGAAGTTTAGCGCCACTTGGGGTTGGTGACGCCACGCGCCCCACGCTGAATATAGGTTCGAGCTCACTCGGTCAGCAGATATGAGTGTGTGTGTGTGTGTGTGTGCGTATCTATGTACATTATATATATATATATATTTATTCACTTATTCATATTTAGTGCTACGTGTTCTTATTACTGATGACACTCGTTTTTCCTGTGTGGTTAAAATGAATCTGTAGTAGACAAAACACATGCCGCAACCTCTTGTTCTAATTTGTTTGGGCCGTGCCAAGTCTAGAATATGGACGTCTGAACGTTTAGTAGTAATACTCCTATATGGCTGCACATGACTGCAACTGACTATACGCAGAAGACGAAGACTGGAGGTCCCCATTCTAATTATCAAGGCCTCTGTATTTGTGTAACTCGTAGCGTAAGAGCATGGCACAGGCAACTATGCCGTGGTGGACGGCTCTACGCAGATACTTGGATGATCGGAAGATCTTCTGTGGCTTCAGCCTCGAATTGACTTCCGGTTTCGGGTTTGCTGCTTAGGGTTTTTCGTAAATCGCTGTCTGATCAGTATCGCTTAAAGTCCGTTGCGAGTCCAATCCCCATTCGATTTATCATTATCCCGTTATAGCTCTCTTATGAGTGTAGTTTACTGTTTACCACCCAGTTTACGGGTTCAGGGTTAGGGCTGTCGTTTCGGATTCCAGGTTCATGCCAAGTTCAGCGTTTAGGGTTTGGGTTTGCGGTCTCTGATCTGATATGCCTGCAGATACGTAGACTGAGACCGGAAAGGAATGACAAGAATGCTACCTTCTCTGCTCGAGCTCAAGGTTTTGGCTTGTAATCGTAAGAGAGTATGAAGATCCTATCCTTTGATGACGTGGCTATTGCTGTTCCGAAGTATAGGAAGCCGTTTATATTGGGCATTGCCCCTACGCTGCAACAGTTGTAGCATATCTACAATAAAGTTATCTTTAGCCCTTTATTTGACCCTTAATACAGGGGGCGAAACCCAATCTTTTAGATCATCTCAGGGCCTTGTGGTTCGTAGTAGCAGGACTTGAGTGATTCCTACGCAAGACCATGTTAGTTCGAGTGGGAGTTTGGACAATCTGCATCAGGCGTTCATGGTTCCTTTCACTTTTGGTGGCTTTCACTGCATCTACTTTTATCTTCATCTTCTAATCATCCGAACCCTGGCTAGCATAAGCTGAAGATGAATGATAAGACCATGCAAGAAGCAAAGGGATGAACCAGTTATGGGACTGATGAGTAGAGGCACCAATGCTGAGTTGAAAGCTACGGGACAGGATGATCCCGAAGTCCTGGGTGCAGATGAACAGCGACGTATTTGTGATATCCGTTTTTTGGTTCGCTATCGGCCCTTCCGGGTTTCGACTGCATAGAGATCCGACACTTTTGTTCAACCTGAGCGCCAGCCTGGAGATGTACCCTACACCGGAAGCTGCAAGCTGTAGGTATCAGGGAAAGTGGCTGGGCAAGAAGCTTTTGCTGCTGAGGACTCTGCTGATGTATTCGCGAGTCTACGACTCCCGCGCTCACGTGGCATGCGGCGGGGTACGCATAACTTTACAGGTGTCGTCAAGGATATCAGTCTGATTAGCAGGATGTCTTCTATTGTTCAGGTAATGTCCCCACAAACGGGGTGGTAGGTTCAACAGCTTATGTTTATGTGCTTAGTTGGTCCGCCAAACATGCCCTGAATACCTAATCAAAGTCTTCAGGACTTGAGGCCCCATAGCAGGGTTACGACCTGAGCTCAGTTCTCTTTAAGGGCTTGGGGGTGAAGGGTTTCGGGGAGCTAAGGGTTCAGGCTTCGGGCTAGATGGCTTGAGGTTGAGGCTCAGGTTCCATCTTCACCTGTGGGCCTACATACCCATATGGGTAGTTGTCAAAATTAGGGTCCCTTTTTGGGTACCCTAAATACTCGGTGCCGTATTATATTAGGACCCAAAAAGTGACCCTAATTTTGATAACCACCCATATTGTGGCCGCGAGAGAAAGTACCCTGATGAATTGGCAGAAACACGGAGTCGTGCCTCCCCTGTCCACCGCCTCAGGCCATCAACTAAAGCCTTTTTTTCTAAGATCCTGTCCGCGCAATCGAAACGTTCCTTTGGTGCCTTCTCTGTCATTCGAGCCATCCCCGATGCAGAGGTCATTGCCTAATTCACCCAGCAAACGCACCTGCTCCCAAGGTAAGGAGGAAGCCCAGCTACTGGGTACCCTCGGCAAGTGACTGCGCAGCTTTTAGTATCTTCCAGATCAGGAATTTAGGGTTCGGGCTCGGCAGACACCAGTTCGGTCTAGGGCTCAGTTTACTAGGTAGAGCTTTGGGACATTTTATATTTTCCCTTATTGGGCTAAAGACGATCTTATTTACTAATATTTTTCAAAGGCTTTAAAAGCCCCAAACTGTTTAGTGATTGCAGCTGCGGTGTGCTGTTGCTTGCAGTTTTGTTGGCTTCACCTTGCTGATTTTCATTCTACGTTTCGCTACTCTTCGCCGCAGTATCACTCGTATGGGCTAGGTACATTGGCTTCATGAGCATCGCGCCAAAGAGGAATGAGTAAACTCAACAGGTTGTTGTTCTCAGCCGGGCTCTGCGTGTGTGTGTGTGTGTGCCAGTTCATCCCCGCATTCGATTTGGCTTCCTTCCTACATTCTTACATACCTACATACATGCATACATACATGCAAGCAAACTAATACCTAGCTAACTGACTGACTTACACACTGACTGGCCGATTGACCGACTGACTGACTGGCTGGCTGACTGACTGACTGCCGAACGAATGAACGCACCAACGAACCAACAAATCAACGAAGGAACCAACGAATTCAAAAACGAACATACGAACGAGCCAGCCGCTTTAGTAAGTTTTTTTTATCAAAGCATGTTCAAAAGCCTCAACCACCGGACCTGCCATGAATCTGAGCCTTGCCACAATGCTGGCACTGGATTTCAGTAGGAGGCAGAGCTGCTCCGATGACGAACAAGGGCATCTTGCAGGGGTTCTTTAAATGTCCCGATAGTAACGGTGTCTTCTAGGTGGCAATTTGGGAAACTTTTTAATTTCCCTTATGGTTCCTATAGAGGCACCTATACATAAATACTTTTCAGAGCTCCAAAACTACAACCCAGTCTTTAAGGGTTCTTCAAATGTACCGATAAAGGTATCTTGAAGGCCATGCAGGAGAGCTTAGTCTTGGTGTTTGGGGATCTTGTTACTATGAAGGTTACCACAAGGGCTACAGTAACGGCATTTTGGAATTCAGAGCCTAGGGTTTGCATAATATAGGGGCCTATGGATAATTACCCATACAGTCTTAGGGGTTCCTTATCAAAATAAAAGTATAACATACCCCAAACCCTATCCTAATTATTAGGGCCCCTATGGGCTTTTGGGGCTTTTGTGGGATTGGGCCTTAAATATAAGGGTGAAGGCTCTTAGGGTCGAAGGGCTTAGGCTTTGGGGCGTTACGTTCTTGCGGTTCAGGGCGGTTGGTGTCTTTTGGTGTTGGGCTCTTGCGGCTTAATGGCGCACGGTACATCGGATGGTTGGTTCACGGATTGTCGGATTTTTGGTGGATTCAAGTAAAGGGTGTTAGGTTCCCGAACCAACGCTCAAAGTATAAGTCAGAGAAAAGAAATAACAAGAAAGCGAAGGTGCCAGCGTAGGCGTTGGCCGTCCGGGGATCCTGAATCTTGAGGGCTACAGCGTACAGCAACTAAAAATGTATGTACAGTACCATTCTTTAGGTACGGCCCCCATACAGTAAGAGTCGATAATGGGGCTACTATTAAGGTCCTACTATATCTATATTATGAAGATTATTCAACTATTACTGACTGGGGGCCGTACCCAAACCATTCTATTGAAGAAGTCAGATGTCGAATCCCTAAACCCTAAACCCTAAACCCTATGTCGAAGCCCATGGGCATCGGAGTCTCCGGCTCGGAGTTTCACGAACTTGCGCGAGGAGCGCTTCGTCGCACGCCGAGCGCGGGCACGGGTGCTTGAAAAGGCGAAGGTTTCGGGTTTTAGGGATTTTAGGGCAGAGTAACCAAATGTAAGAAGGCGAAGGTTTCGGGCTTAGGATTTAGGGGCTTAGGTTTTAGGGTAGAGTAACCAAATTTAGGATGACGCTAGAAAGTCGCTATGTTTACCTTTTCAAGGTACCTTGGTTACTTTAGGTGGGGCCCGGGGTTCGGGACCCAATCTGCTCTTGTGGATCCCAGAGTCTAGAGAGACTCAGGTCAGCCAGAGTTAGGTTTGCAACTCAGCTACTGGGTCGAAGCCCGGAAGAACGGAGATGAGTTAACCACATTTTGAAGCTTCGGGGACGGGTCACCCGAAATCCGGGGCCCCAGCCGTTAATACGTTTTGTCCGCCGCGGAGGGCAAGTTCCTAAATCCTCACATGTACCGGGTTTCTGGATGACTGATCCGTCCTCGTGCGTGCTGTAGTTCTAATTATTATAGAAGCCTAAATGATTACCAACATTTTTCCTAGGGCAGGGTTCCTTAATTATAACTGTACTATAATGTACCCCAAACCGCCAACATGTGCATATACGTATTCTTTGAGGATGCATATGTCGTCCTTCGTTGCGCTCTTCGTCGACAGGCTTTCGCCCGCATCACCCCAAACCCCTATTCTAGTTATAAAGGCGCCTACAGTAATCAGAGAAGAGAGCAGCCAAAGACAGGAGCCCTAACTTTACATCCAAGTGGGTCAATAGGTCTAAATGGACCCTTAGAAGCCTACCCTTTTAGGGTTCCAGAATAGGGCTTCCTGATATGAAACCTTAAACAATGTAGGTTATTTTCGGTTCAGGCCGAAAATAACCTACATTGTTTAAAAGGTACGTTCTGCAAAGTTATGCCATCTCCCTCAAAACCACCCTGGATCCTACTCCCTAAGCTCTGGAAGTATCGAATCCTATCGGGAATCTTCCAAGATGCCTTCGTTATGGAATATCCGTTCTATACTAAGAGGTTCCATAGTGTGGTTCGGTATATGAGAAGATACGCACGAGACATGGAACTTCAGCCATGCTCCCGTAGCTGGCTCATATACCAAAAGTTACCATGACTTTACATGCTCCCCCGGGCAATAAAACCAAAACACCTGAAATCCTAAGCAATAGTTTGTTGAGATGCACCAGGTTCATTTAGCTGTTGGGAGGGTTGGTTTCTCAAGCCCTTCAGTACAAGGCCCTCAACCCTCATGACGGCTGGCCCAATATGCCCAACAACACTCTAAACCAGTCATGATCTATAAACCGTTAACACCTGCCTCTGAAGCTTAACCGAACTAATGCTCACAAAATCCTTATGATAAGGTACCCTAGGTCAGTAGCCCTTCTTATTTGAAACCCCTAGGGACACTGAACCCTAAACCCGAATCATATTACAAAGATCATTAAGTCGAGGCCGGGACAACCAGACTCCCATCCTCTCTTTCGCGGTCCTCCTCAGCCGCCCGGCGATGTGGCTTTCACCACCCTTGTTGAAGCATTAAGCCAGCCTGTCAGGTGTGCAGGGTTTAGACCTTACGCCTTGAGCATTAGGGTGTAGAGGTTTAGGGTTCAAGGTTCAGGGGTTCGGCGTTTCAGGCTTTACGGACGACCTGGGCCAGGGCTCTTGCAGAATTGGTACGTTCTTGTTCATCATGAATCAACTTGAAGACGAGGCTATACTAGAGCTTGGAGGTAAAAACCGAAAATAGGGGCCTAAACAAATACCTACACTATTTTGAGGCTCGTTGTTTAACTATAGTACAGTGGGCCCCCAAACCCTATCCTAGTTATTCAGGCCCCTAAATTGCTGGCTAGGCTTTTGTATTTTGAGGGGTGCTCGGCCCTACACCCTCGGCCCAAAGCCTGTAAGCCCCGAAACCCTGAGCTGCATCCCTGCACGGAAAGCTTCGACCTATGATAATAGCTCCAAGTTTTCGTAAACAATGAAACAGTGTTAGTCATAATGCTGGTAGTAGTAATCGAGTCTCTGTGGTAATAATGAAAATAACTTCAGCAATCATAGTAGTAGAATGATACTTGCGAGTACGCGTCTTGCAAAAACATGGCTTCAAGCCTGCTCGAAGAATCCCGGCTTGTGAGCTAGAGTCGCTCGGAGCCGAAACCTTCATATAAGGGCCTTAGTCATTTGCATAAGGTTCCTTTGTATGCTCTCATAGCAGCACGAGCAGTAGCGGTAGCTTCGTTGATCCGTAGAATTCTGCGCCTTGGAATCCTGTAAGCTAGACTGCCTTGCATTGCCAAGCCTAAACACTATACACCACTACTGTCAACCGTGTCAACCCCAAACCCTACACCCTAAACCCTAAACAACTAAACCCTAATCCCGAAACCTTAGACTGTACACAACCCCTCAATGGCCCTAAAGAATGAAGCCCTGGCGACGAAGTCGAGGCATTGCGAAAGATCTTTGTGCTGACTACGACATCGCCTCCCGGAGACGGCAAGGATGGCCGAGACAGCAAGGATGGTGCTGGTGCCAGTACGAGAGAGCCTTCCGAGGCCGAGGATGTTGAGCAGGTGTGGCAATTCACCTTGCATTTCAGTGACCGCCACCATTTTCGTAACCGTGGCGACGTCCAAACCCGAACAGAAGGGTCGATCCTGGGTGTGCGTTGGTGCTTAAGGAGTTGTTGAAGTTACGTAAGCAGCCCTAAACCCTATACTCACACCCCTAAACCTTATAAACCCTAAGCCCTTAACCCCCAAACCCTTAAACCCTAAACCCCCGGACCCTAAACCCTAGCATCGCCCGCCCCAGGAGATTCGATGCCAGGGCCTCAGGGACAGCTTGTGGAGCCGAGGTACGATTTATGAGTTTCGCGGTTTAGGGTTTGGGGGTTAGAGGCTAGGGTTTAGGGTTTAGAGGTTTAGGGTTTAAGGATTTAGGGTTTGGGGGGTCTGGGGGTCTAGGGGTTTACACATATATATATATATATATATATTCATGTAATTATTTATTTACATATATATATATATATATATGTATAGGGGTGTAGGGTTTTAGAGTTTAGGGCTTAGCGGTTAATGGGTTTCGGAGTTTTAGGGTTTGGGGCTTAGGGCCACCGGTCGATAGTTTAGGGCTTCAGTTTCGGGTTTGGGTTGCACCTCAGGGTTGAGAGTTTCCTCGTCGTCATCTGAAGGAGTATCGGCAGTCTCACTCACGGTAACCCTCCGGGCTTCGAACCGACAAC